CTACGGTTTACCGGGCAGTTCTATTTGACGATATATATATATATATCGTCAAATAGAACTGCCCGATAAACCGTAGGCAGAGAGGGAGAAGAGGACAACAAATGAGGGGCTGTGACAAACTGTTTCGTCGGAGTTTTACCGATTCCTCAGGAGGCTGAACCCTCAATAGTCTGCAGAATCCCCTCACTGATTACACTGTAAATGATAATCTACCTTAACCAAAATCAAAGTAGACTATCACTCACCCTCACCAGATGGAAAACTCTACTGACTGTCGGTTCACACCCCATCACAAGCCAGCAATATATATATATATTATATTCAGCCTCCTGATGAGTCGGTGAAACTCCGACGAAACAGTTTGTCACAGCCCCTCGTTTGTTGTCCTCTTCTCTCTCTCTGCCTACGGTTTACCGGGCAGTTCTATTTGTGACGATATATATAAAAAAAAACAATAGAAGGCGTGGGCTCGCACGCCGCATTGGCTGAAACCCTGTCAGGAGCGCTAAGGCAGCCGGATCAGGGGCCGGCAAGGACAGGCCTGGCCACGGTTAAGAGTCAAGGAGGGCACTTACCCGGGGTTGTCTACTAAGCTTGCAGGGTCTGCCTTATCTCCACGCTCCGCACTTGGACTCCTTCCTGGCCCAGATGCAGGAAAGGGCCTCGTCACCACAGGAAAATCAAGGGGATCTTCAAAGAGGACCTCAAAATCATTTGGGCCATTTGCAAGCCCCCTATGGGGCTCCCCTTGCTTTGCTATCAGTGTACTGTTCTGTTTCCCCTTGCTTTGCTATCAGTGTACTGTTCTGTTTCCCCTTGCAGGTGATCATTTCAGGAGAAGAGAAGGACCCGCTCCCTTGGTACCCCTGGTAAGAACTGACTGAAAACATGCCTTATGAACATACATTCTACCCGAGTTTATCTGACAGCATCAGCCAGCTTAGCTTGCAGGCCGGAGCCTGCGGAAAGTTGTTACTGACAGCTTTCCAGTTCTTTTTTTTTTTTTTTTTTTTTCTCTCCCTATTCTCTCCAGAGTTTGGACTGTTGATAAAATATTCTCATGAATAGACGGATTTATTCAACCACCAGTACTTGGCCCAGCTATGGGCGTCGGGAAAAAAATAGAGTAGAAACGTTTCTAGTTGGATGAATTTGGGCGCTCCTGTAGTGGCCCGTACGTTTCCTAAAATCGTGTAGCGTTAACGGGCACGACTTTAGGAAGTACTGGTGCTGCTGGTGGTTTAACAAATGCCCCACAAAGTATACGGAACAATAATGCTCTAAAGGCGACTACTATAGTCTATAGCCGTGGATCAGATTTGTACTGTCTTCACCTTTTTTTTTTTTTTTTTTTTTTTTTTTTGAAAGGGACAAGCTCCATCTATTGGTGGGGAGCAGCACCTGCTGGAAACCGGGTCCAGCGTCCCATACATACAACCATTTCGTTGCTGATTGATACAAAGCTGGGAACCGGGCCCAGCGTCCCATCACGAGTACATTCAGGAATCCCATCAAAAACTTGCCTGAAAAGGAACCAAGAATTAATTGAGAAATCTAATTGGAGCTACGTTTTTTGATTTGAAATGAGACTTCCACTTTCCATCTCCCTTCGATGATCCGACCTCCTCCACCACATAGTTCGAAGGAGAGAGAAGAAAGTAATCAGTCCAGGAACGAGTTCTGAACAAATCTGAGAACAAATAGCTTCCTGCCTGCTACGCCTAGCAACCACCTACTCTTCCTCATCTCCCGACGAGCCGACCTCCTCCACCACATAGTTCGGAAGATAAGAAACAGCAGACACTCAACCTCTCCAAAACCCATATGGTTAAGAATGGACTTCAATTGTCCATCTCCCTTCGACGAGCCAACCTCCTCCACCACATAGTTCGAAGAGAGAAAAGATAATTAGGGTCCAATCAAAGACTTGCAAAAATGTCATCAGATCTTTTTTTACGACGGCGTAAAAAGGATACGCTTCAATTGGTCACAGCTCGGACCAATCCATACCCACTATACCCTGTCTCATGCTGCCTCCACCGAGGAAAATCCCTCGGCCCCAACATAGAACAGATCCCCTCCCCTCCCTCCACCGCATCCGSAAMKGCARCCAATCCCCTCCTAGAGGCTGCCTTTGCCCACCCCTTGTCCCTGTCTGCCCCCGCTGGGGTTGAAGGCGACCAACTCTCCAACCCCGGCCCCAGACTCAGACAATCCCCAATCTGCCCCACTCCCAATAGGGCGACTGCCTCCCACCATGCAACACCCCTGTAGAATAAGGCTCCCCTATAACAGACCCCAGGGTTAATTTTCGGGGACAACTAACTAGTASTCTGTACCCACCCCTGGCCAGCCCTATCTCTCCTTCCCCTAGCTTACCCAAGGCCAGGCGGAGCCCAGGCTGACAGTCCTACCGTCCTTCCCCTGGCTTGTCCCCTAACTTAGCCAGGCGGATCTCAGACCTGTTGTGGGTAACTATCGTATATCTGTACCCTGGAGTCTCAACCCCCCCCCCACCCACCAAGGTTCCAGCCATAACCTCCGAAGTCCTGTCCCCACTAAGGCGTCTGCAAAACTCATGAAAAAACGAAATAAAGAAAATTCACCTTACCCCAATCAGGGGGAACCTAACGGGACAAAACCTAGTGGCAAATTGCAACATGAAAACGTTATGTCTCAAATTTCTACTACAAATAGTCGTGATCAAGAAGTGAGTAAACAAGCAGTTGGTGATCAAGATATAGGTGATCAAGATATCGGTAATCCAGATGTAGGTAATCGAGATATATTTACTGAGGATGAAATTATTAACGACTATTGGATAATTGAGTAGCCGAAAATGGTACCCTGAGACTAAAAACTTTCCAGATGATTTTAGTAATGATGATGGTAGCGATGATGATGGAAGTGTATTTCTACTACGAATAGTAGTAATCAAGAAAATGACTAAAACAGTAGCCTAAAGATAGTGGTGGCGATCAACTTCGCCTACCTGATGATGATGATGATGATAGTAGTGGTGATGATGATGATGATGATGATGATGATGATGATGATGATGAGGACGACGACGACAACGCACAGCGCCCTGCGATCACAAGGATGATGGTGAGGATGACTCACCTCCTGTTAATGACGTTGTTGCTGCTGCTGCTGCTGCTGATGACGAGCAGCCCCCTAAAGATGATGCTGCCGACAAACGTTGATGATGATGATCATGACGAATATCAGTTTGATGACGAGTAGCGCCCAGCGCTCTGATGATGATGACTCCCAGCGCCCCGATGATGGTGGCGAGCCATTATCAGGATGCTGATGTCGATGGTGGTGATGAACCGCACCCTCCTGATGATGACGATGATGATGATGATGATAACGGCTTTGAAGATGATGATGATGGTGATGATGATGCTGATGATGCTGCTGCTGCTGCTGATGACGACGACGGCGCACAGCACCCTGCGGACAGAAAAGATGCTGCTGATGATGATGGTGACGAGCAGCCCCCTAACTATTGATGATGTTGTTGCTGCTGCTGCTGATGATGATGACGAGCAGCCCCCTAATGATGCTGATGCCGACAAACCTTGACTATGAAGATGACGAACAGCGCCCAACGCTCTGATGATGATGACACCCAGTGCCCTGATGATGGTGGCGAAGCATTTTCACAGCGCCCTGCAATCACCAAAAGATGAGAGTGATGACGGATCACCCCCTTGATGCTGATGATGACGAAACTCAACTTGATGACGAACAGCGCCCAGCGCCCTGATGATGATGACGCCCAGCGCCCTAATGATGATGATCACGACGGTAAGGGTAATGATGATGATGGTGATGATGATGATACTGATTGTGAAAATGGTGATGATGATGATGATGGTGATGATGATGATAATGATGATGATGATGATGATGATGATGATGACGACGATGACGACGACGCACACGATGACGTTGGTGCTGCTGCTGGTGATAATAATGACGAGCAGCTCCGTAATGATGATGATGCCGACAAACCTTGAGGATGATGATGACAAACATCAGCTCGATGTCGAACAGCGCCCAGCGCTCTGATGGTGATGACGCCCAGCGCCCTGCTGATGATGAGGAGCCATTATCGGGATGATGATGATGATGGTGATGATGAACCACACCCTGCTGAGGATGCTGGTGATGATGATGATGATGATGATGACAACGACGACGTAATGATCACCGAAAAATATGATGGCGATGACGGGCAGCCCTGATGATGATGAGGAAGCCCTCACCGTATTCCATTGAGTCTCGGCCGATCCCTGATGCCGATGAACGAGGACACTGGTGATGACGGGCAGTTACTTCACTCGCACTTCGGGTCACCCAAGGCTCTCTCCGCTGAACTCCACAGGCATCACCAGAGGAGACACCTCACAGGCTCTATGCCACGGGCAGAAACGCAGCAGCAATGGAGTATGAACGCGGAACTCCCAGGAGGCCCCCGGGAGTCGGTCTAATCTCCCTATCAACCTGTGATACGGTGTAGACCAGCACCTCCGCTCCCCGCGCGTGCGCAAAACGCCTAATAAACAGCTGCTGTAAGCTCGACACCCTTACCCCACCAGCGCCTCCGTCACGCCATCGCCATGCCGTAGTTCGTTCATATGAACGCGTCAGAGCGAAAGCGGTGCGAGCCAGGCACCCTCCCGCTTCGCCGCCTCACTCCGCCGCCGCGGTCGGCGCCGGGGCGCAGCGCTCCCGGTAGCGCTGCGCCCCGTCCCCACGGACCTTGGCCAACTCATAGTTGCAAGTAAGATCGAATAAACATAATTATTTATAATTTATATATTTATAATTTATATATAATCAATTATTTATATTCATTATATTTTATTAGATTACTATATTATTTATTAGATTATTATATTCTGTTTATTTTTCAAAAATTATGTTATTGTATATGGAATTCATTAAATATTGAGCAACCCAAACATAGTAGAGCACACTGCGCAGCCTGAGGCAGGTATTCATGCTCACACTTAACAAGAACTCAATTGCTAGGACATCCCATCCTGGCCACTCCCCTTTTCCAAATTTCTAGCTTATTCTCCTAGTACCTGCCCCCGAACACAACGCACCCTAAAAATGTATGTATACAAGCTATATTTCTGGCCAGATACAGCCAAAACGAGGGTGCGTTGTGTTCGGGGGAAGACGGTAGTACCTGGCCCCTTCCGTAGATGGTTGACCGTTGACCATCCGGGTCAGCGGTCAACATCCGGGTCAACGGTCAACAGCCCGAGTCTCCTTTCGCGTGAGATAGAGATATCGGTTAATATATCCTAGTGTCTAGAGGTAAGGGATTAGAGTTCGGCGGTCTCGAGCAGAGACACACACTTGTTGTGCTGCCTCCTCTAAGGGGGCATCTTCAAGCAATGGATGTTTCAATTGTCTCAACAATGGCTTACTAGTCGGTTGTAATTCCGCTCAGGCTAAGTCATTTAAGCGGATGAGTCTGTCCACGATTTTCTAGGGCCTATTGCACCATCAGTTGCCGAAGGTGACGGTCATATGTCCAAAATTTGGCATCTACAAACAAAGAAAAAGACAGAAAGAAAGAAAGAAAGAACCAAAGAAAGAAAAAGCGCTGGCTGGACCAAAAACAATCTGTGTAGACAAGTGTTTCCTAAATGATCCTTTGCATCAGCTATTGTGGATTTTAATTGTTTTTCATTAAAATTTTTGGTACCTGCTTTGATATGGTTACACCCTAAGCCTAGGGCAAAGGGGCAAACATGCGGTTGGTTACCTCTCTCCACCGAGAGCGGTAACCTCCCTTCATCGAAGAGGAGGTAGAAAGCTATGCTTGCAGGAATAGTGGTAGGTAGTGAAAGAAAGATTGCAGCCTTGGTGTTTTCAGGTCGACTCAGGTCGACTGGTAGTAACATGGGTTCCGTCTTTGGGGTATAACAGGGGTAAATTTGCAAAAAACTTGAAAAAAGTTGAAAAAACACAGTCCTTTCCTGTATCACGGGGACATAGATTGATTCAAGACCCAGTCTGCTTCGCGTATACTGTAAATTTCACCCAAACAAAACGGCCAGACAGGTCACTAAAGCTGTCCAAAATATCAACATCCAAATCATTATTGACGAGTAAGAAGGCGGTACCCCCCTTTGGTGCCGTCGTGGGGGGGGGGGGGGGCGGCAAAATTGAGGACCCCTCCACCAGTCGCTAGCCTCTGCATTTTACAGTTATCCAATTTAGTTTAAATTCCTGGATGCAGAGAATCTGGACAGACTGGGAATGACTTCCAAAAGCGAGCTGCCTCTGTTTCTGTAGATCGGTAGTATGACCGAGGCTTTGAATATTCCAAGATGGGTGAGTACATATATACTACGGTCTTTACCCGAACACAACGTACGGTTGTAATAGCTGTATTTGGGGCAACTTTGAGTCTAGATACATCAATAATGACCGTACGTACCTTGTATTCGGGTGAAGATGGTAGTATATATGTTACTTGCCCGTCTTCCACCCCCCCCTATTCTTCCTGGATCATGATAAGTCAGAGGACTTCCCCCTCCCCCTCCCAAAGGTCGTCTTCTCTCTCCAGACCCCCTGTCAGTTCCACCAATCTCTCGTCCCTGCAAGGGGGGCTACTACGAATTCACCCCAATCTACCACCCCCTGAAGACTTGGTGAAGGGGGGCTACTACGACTTCACCCCAAACTACCACCCCCTGAAGACTTCGTGAAGGGTGGCTACTACGACTTCACCCCAAACTACCACCCCCTGAAGACTTGGTGATGGGCGCAAGCAGCGTGCTAGTTCTTGTCTTTTCTGCATGTGGTGAGTCGCAGAGCGATGCCCGTAAAGGGGCCTGTGAAAGGTGAAATTGAGAGAAGCAGTGGCTATGACCAACGCTTTCCCACACACCACACACAACCCACTGCTGCTACTCTATGGGGGTGGGGGACTCCCTTACACACCGACGATCAGGGGGGGGGGGGACAACATGCTTGCAGGGTTCTCCTGTATAGGCTGAGGAGTAGTGGTACTTGAAAGTTTGATTTTTTTTTTTTTTTTGTGAACAACCCGAGCGGATGCTAGGTGTGGTGATATGAGCAGACACACCTAGCACCGTCGGGGAGGCTCCATCTATTGGTGGGGAGCAGCACCTGCTGGAAATCGGGTCCAGCATCCCTTGAATACATCTTTGTAATGCAGTGTTTGTTGGGCATATGGCCATTAGAGTTCTTGTTCCAGAGCATCCTTCTTTCCCTAGGGGCTGCGTATGTTGCCCTCCCAATTTGTAGAGCTCCTATTTCCTGCTGGACTGGCCCCACCCAGGATGGTGTCCGTCTTGCATTTATGTCTATACTCCTCCTGTTGCTAGTGACTGAACTCCTATCCCCCGTGTGTGCACCCCCCCTTATTTTGTAGTCATTTCGAGAGCTGTTTCTGAAACCTTTTGTACCCGTTAAGCCTTGTACCCTCTTCTAAACCCGTGCTTGTCACAAAGATGAACCTTAAAGCCCTTGACCACCGGGAAGCAGTGAGGAAGGACAAGAGTCATTTGTCAAGGGCCCTGCTGAATATGGTGCGTGTGTCCTCTCACACAGCGATAACAGCGGCCCCCACTATTATTTACAGATACAGCGTCAATTCTTGAGAGATCTTTTGAACCCCCGAAACCTTGAAACCTTTTCTTTTCTCAGAACCCATGCGTGCCGCGCTCTGATCCTTGCCCCCGTAGTCGTAATGCCTGGTCCTCCTGGCTTGTTGCAGCAAGGCAGGAGTTGACGCTCCAGTGTTGGTTACTTCAATGCTGTTGTTGCCGTGATTGGAGTGCTACTTCCACTGTCCTCTTTCCCGCATGGTGGCATCACAGTATGACACGATGTTGTGCTGTCTCTCCTCATGTTGGGTACAGGAGCCGTCACAGCGGCATGGCGGCGTCTCATTGTCCCCGTCGTCAGCAGCTGCGAAAGAGATGGTCGGGTGTCAAGGGATAAAGAATAGGAGGATGGGGGGTGATGTGGGGGAGGGGGAGACCGGGAGGGGTATCACGGAAGGGGAAGGGAGGCGGGCGGTGATGTGAAGGAGCACAGGAGGGAGGGGAGGGGTCAGTGCCGGACGGGGGCAGGGGCCATTGTGCAACCGGGGTCCTGGGGGATGAGCACGAAGTTAGTCAGAAGGTACGGAACTGTGAAGTCGTCTAGCGGCTTCCTCTGCCATGAGGGCTCGTTCGCTCTCCAGTTTTTCCATTGTACATTGAGGTCATCCAGCAGTTCGGAGAAGGCTTGGTGCGGATCTTGTCATATCTGGCAGTAGCACTCTCGCAAAGCCTCCCTGAGAACGGGGTCCCTCTATTCGTGATAATTCTGTTTCATAGCCTTCCAGGCCCTTTGTGCATTGGACCTGATCTCCGAGTCTTCCTCAATCGCTTGTTGTGCTTGCTGGAGACCGAACTGATGGTCTCTTCTCTCGAAAAAGCACCTGGCTCTCCAGGCTTGCATGAGCATGTGGAGCCTCATGTACGAGAAGAGGTTGACGGCAAAGGGTGTCCATTGCGCCAACAAGTGTTGGTTTTTGCCAAGTAGGA